GGCAGGTGAGGGAACGCTGCTGTCAGGGCAGATCTCAGCTCTGCACCCCTGGCAGCCCCAGTAACGGAGGAGTTCTGTGCACAGGGGACCTTCATGCTGTCTTGGACCTTGCAAAGGTTGCCGACTCCCTCCTGTTCATCCTGGATGCTGCAGATGGCTGGGACAGCGTGGGGGAGCACTGCCTCTCCTGCCTCTTCGCACAGGGGCTCCCCAGCTACGGTGAGCAGGAGAAATATTAAGGGCTTTTAGCGAGGTGTGGGTCGGGGGGGTGCTTGATGGGGATTTACCGTTGCAGTAATTAAAAACTCATATGTGAATAGGTCAGTGCAGGTCTTTGATCACTCTGTTTCTGAACAGTGAACACCAATCCCTTGCTGCCTTGCTGTGTTACCACCCTGGCAGGGTAGTGCTGCAGTGTTGCAGGATTAGGCCTCTGGGGGTGTGGTGCTCTGTGTTGTAACAGTTGTCTGGGCACAGTGAGGGTATTCGGGTGCTTTCTTGATCATTTTTGTTTCTGAGCCTTTGTGGCCAAGGTCTCATTTAGTCTCAAAATCTTACCTGTGAACACAGCTTTTCTGTCCTGAGCGTTCTTTTGAGAGTGTGAATTTGCCTTTGCAGCTCGTGGGGTGAATCTGCTTGGTTGTGTGGCTGGCTGAGATCTGAGTTTGTCACTGTCTGGTGCCAGGGGTGTGAGACAGTTTATGATCTGATTCTGAACTCTTCTCCGCGTTGCTGGACAGCTCTCGCCGTCCCTGGGGGCACCGACTTGCCCCCCAAGAAGCGGATAGACGTCAGGAAGAAGCTCTCCAAAGCCTTGGAGAAGCGGTTTCCCGAGGCCAGGCTCTTCCCCCTGAACACGGAGCAGGAGTCCTCTCTGCTGCTGAGGCACCTGGCCACCCAGAAGCAGCGGCGCCTGGCGTTCCGGGACAGGCGTGCTCACCTGCTCGCCCACGCCGCCCGCTTCGTGCCCGCGCAGGACAGCGACTCGGTTGGCACCCTGAAGGTGTCCGGCTTTGTCCGTGGGCAGACCCTCAACGTGAACAGCCTGGTGCATATTGTGGGGCACGGAGACTTCCAGATGAGCCAGGTGGATGCCCCCCCCGACCCCCTCTCTCTGAACCCCCGTGTGATGAAGGGCCAGAAGAGGAGTCAGGACATGGAGGTACAGGTGTGTGGGGGGCAGGGATTTGCCAGGCCCCTCGGAACAGGATGTTTGTAAACTTTCATCAGGAGAACATAGCTGGATGTATGCGGCCAAGGGGAGGGGGAAGAGAGTTCCATCAGACCTGGCAGGCCTGTGTTCTGCCACGGAGCTGAGGTTCCTTGTCCACAGCACGAAATGAAAGTTATGTTGCAACATAACGAGAGATATGCCAGAGGAGTTTTCACTTCAAACTGACTGCTGGTTTGAGTGAGGTGTGTTCACAGCTGGGACTCTGCTCGTGCCCTTCAGGATGACTCTCTAAATGGTGACGATGAGATGGAGGAAGATGTTAAGGTCTTGATGAAAGCAAATCCAAGCAAGCAGGAGTCTTTGCAGTCAGAAGTGGTTCCTGATCCCATGGAAGGAGAACAGACGTGGCCTACTGAAGAAGAACTACAAGAGGCAGAGGGTGAGTAGGAGCAATATTTCTGTACTTTTTCCTTGTCCCTCTTAAGAGAGTTGTTAGAAACCCTCTGTCACTGGGATGGCTGCTGATGGCTGTACAGAAATGTGCTAGCTGGGAGCCCAGGGCTTCTATTCCTAGTCCCATCCCCTGAGCCCTGGGCTGTGTGGTTTGTCTAGTGGTTAACAGGGTTACAGCTGGGCTGCCTTTTCTGGGCCCTGGCATACTCTGCTGGGAAACAGTGATTCTGGCCTACAGCTATCCTGGCTGTCCCAGTGTAAATCTTGCTGAGGGCAGGGAGAATTGTTCCTGTATTAACCATTGGTGGGAATCCTCCAGCTTCTCTGAAGGCAAACAGGAGGGTCGTGAAGGTCCCCAAAGGCACATCCAAGTACCAGGCTGCCTGGATTGTGGATGATGGAGAAGAAGGCAGTGAGAAAGATGATGTTGATGACGAAGATGATGACATTGATGATGACATGATGGAAGAAGCAGTTTCCCAGGTACCTCCAAGAGCTGATCTTGCAGGTGATCTCTGGGGTGTTATTGCATGTTCTAGGACAGTCCTGTCCTTACAGCTTGCTCCATGCAAGGACACAGCAGAGCCAGGACTTGCCTGGATTTCTGTTGTTAAATCTCTCATGTGCATCACGTTGCTTCTTTGGGCTGTTAGATATCAAAGTAAGGGTCTGTGGTGTAGCTTGGGTCACAGTTCAGGCAGTGGGAGGACACGTGGGGTTCGTGGTGCAGCATGAGGGGTGTGTGCTCACGGGGTCTCTGCTGTGCCCTGGGCCAGGAGGGGGAAAGCAGCGAGGAGGAGGAGGAAGCTGCAGAGGAGGAGTGTGAGACTATGACCGTTTCGGAGTGCTTGCGGGACGACCAGTACGACGAGAAGGTGGAGGAGGACGAGCAGATGCTGGAGAGATACAAACAGGAGAGGATGGATGAAATGTTTCCAGATGAGGTGGACACGCCACGTGACGTACCTGCCAGAGTCCGGTAAGGAACGGGGTGCTCTGCTGGGAGGAGCTGGAAGGTGCCTCTCTGTCCAGCTGGGGAGACAGGGCAGGAAGCCTGTGATGTCTTAGCCATGGTGTCTGAACCTGGCTGAAGGACTCTTCTGAAGACTCACTCTTAGGCTCTGAGGCTTCCAGGGCAGGCACTAGATGGGGGGCAGTGGGTGGGCCTGGGCAGCTCCCTGCTGCAGGGACCTGGAGAGGGAGGTGGATGGCAGTCCCCCTGCAAGGGCACATTGTCTGGGGACTTGGCTGCTGTTTCTAGCTCTCTCTGCACCAAGGTCTTTGAGAGCTAATGTTTGCTTTGCTCCCTTTGCTCTCTCTGAAGGTGAGAGTCCCTGCAGACCACAGGAGGTGCTGGTCACACACCTTGGCTGGTGAAGTAGTTTGTCTTTGCTATTACCTGTTCTCTAGATTCCAGAAGTACAGGGGGCTGAAGAGTTTCCGGACTTCTCCATGGGACCCCAAAGAGAATCTCCCAAGGGATTATGCCAGGATTTTCCAGTTCCAGGACTTCTCCCGGACCAGGAAGCACCTTTTCCGGCAAATAGAGAAAGAGGAGACCGAAGGCGCCTCGGTAGCTCCCTTTTCTCCTGCTGATCTCCCCCCCTGCTCAGTCCCCTCACTCCTCATAGGAAGGGCTTTTCATGGAGGTGGCTGGGGGGTTCTCTGAGCCAGCTGGTGCTCAGTGTAAAGCCATGAGTTCAGATGATACCGTGCTGAATCCCCTCCCTAACACAGCAACATTTTACTTCTGATACTTTTCTGTTGAGAGAATTATTCACAACCCCTCCTCTCTTGGCAGGTCGGCTGGTACGTTACACTTCATGTCTGCAATGTCCCTGTCTCAGTGATGGAGAGTTTCAAAGAAGGGAAGCCCTTAGTCCTCTTCTCACTGCTTCCCCATGAACAAAAGGTGACTGTGGCCTGGCTGGTATCTCATAGGTGTGCAGCTCCTTGTCGGGTTCCCTTGGTCTGCGTGGGTTGGAGAGGTTCTGGCTGCAGAGGGTTTGGGCTGAAATCTCCCTACATGTCCAAGTGAGATTCTTCCCTTCAGTCAGAGCAGGCTGAAGCTGCTGAAGTGCCTGAGCTTGGCTGAGGTGTCTGCATCACTGACCAGTGGCCCTTTGGGAAGCCGCTGTCAGGGGCATTTGTCCCACTGCTCCCTGCTCTGCCCACCACTGCTCTGCTGTCAGCCCCTCACCGTGCTGCCTCTCTTGCAGATGTCTGTCTTGAATTTCCTGGTGCGGCGGCACCCGAGCAACAGCGAGCCAGTGAAGGCAAAGGAGGAGCTGATCTTCCACTGTGGGTTCAGGCGCTTCCGAGCGTCCCCCCTGTTCTCCCAGCACACCTCAGGTTTGTGAGGGACTGGTGGGGTGGGCACGGGTATGTCAGGAGATGGGGCCAGGATTTCTAGGGCAGGAAGCCTGTGATGTCTTAGCCGTGGTGTCTGAACCTGGCTGAAGGATTCTTCTGAAGACTCAATCCTAGGCTCTGAGGCTTCCAGGAGAGGCAATAAATAGTGGGGAGTGGAAGGTTCATTGCCAGATACTCTGTGACAGCAGAGGAAGGGTGTTTGTCACTTATTTTTCTGAAGTGTAGAGCCCATTAGCCAGGGAGGAAGGGGCTCACAGGAGCTTCCCAGAGCTCTGAGGGCTGCTGTTGGCCTGAACTTGATGGTTGCTGTTCCCCCCTAGCTGATAAGCACAAGCTGGAGCGTTTCCTGCGCCCGGACGCTGCCCTGGTGGTGACGGTTTATGCGCCCATCACTTTCCCTCCTGCCTCTGTGCTCCTCTTTAAACAGAGATGTAATGGTAAGTTGGTGTGTGCTGAGGAGGTGGTGTCTGGGAAACACACCATAGCAGGGTGTTCCCATACACCACTTCCAAGTGTATCTATCCAGCAAGTGTGATGGGAAGAAGTTGTTCCTTTCATGCTGTTTGAGAAGATTAATGCATTTCCATCCCAATTATCTCTAGCAGCTTTGTCCCTGCTGCTACAGGGTCACTCTAAGCCTGAAACCCCTTGGGGAAGGGTGTTGTGGTGGGGGAGGAGGTGGTGGTGG